GATGAGAATTCTGATAACTTCTGTTGCTGTTAGTTCTTTATATGCACTTTGTACAGGTATAAATGCACAAACCCAAAGGCAGTAGAGAATGTAATCTAGTATCAGAGACTATTTTCAGCATGGGTCCTTCCCAGAGAACACATTTGGTTGTTGTTGTTTTCTGCTGATTCTGTTGGAAATTCTGAAAACATAATTCTGATATCATAAATTTGACTCTAAGGCCCTCCTCTTACACTCTCTTTTTCTTTCTAGTTATTCAAAGCAGAGCCTTTAGCAAAAGCTTCTTTTTTATTCCTTATCTGCTTTTCAGCATGTTTCCTTTGTTGTTGTAACTGACATTAAGATTATAGAAAATATCCTCCTATTATTCTTTAATCAGAACTCTGCCAAGTCCCACTTTACCTAGGATTTTTTTCCTTTCTTTTAGGTGAATTGGAAATTTCTAAATTCTTTTAGTCCGCTTTTATTCTTAGGCTCTTCCAACAGTGTGAATTCCCTGTGGGTGTCCTTATTTCTTCCTACCTATTCACATGTTTTCTCAGGGTTACAAATAGAATCTTATTCATGTTCCATCTTTTACTGTAAAATAACCCTTTTTGCTTCTCTGTTTACATGTAGCTATGTTTTTTGAAACTTTCCATCCCATAAAATTGTGGAACCATCATCAGGTTGAAGATTGCCTGTTGAAATTTGTGCCACTCTTTGATCCTCTTTGTCATCACCAGAATGTTGTAAATTTTGAGGCATGCAATGTTAAGACAATGATGGAATTCAGTGCTGCAAACACAGATATGCTGCATCAAGTATGCTTGAGTAATTATATTTGAATTTTTCATAAACATTAAAATAGTACAGGCTGTTTGTAGTGCTGCATGCTACATTTAAAATCCTTGTATTGAGGAAGTCGTCTTAGCTATTCTTACCTTAGAGCAGCAAGGTGAGAGCAGATCTTCTAACTATTCAAGTTGCCATCCTATTCTGAAGTACAGTTTAATTAGCAATATGTTTAAGTAAAGGATAAATACAGACAACATATTTATGCTTGAATTCAGATATATGATTGGGTGTATTGAGCTATATGATATGCACAAATGCTATTCAAATATGTCATGAATTCATGCCAGTCACTCACAGTGACACTTCACATTAGAAAGGGAAGAAAATACTTTCTTTTCCCATGTAGCACACTTCAACAAGAAAGTGATATTTGAAGGATGGAGGAACCAAAATGGAGTTTCTTCTGCAGTAAAGGGAAGTAAAACTAGACTGAGCACAAAGACCATTTTTCCTCCAAAAATCACTGTATGATTAGGGTTTTTTTTTTCAGTTTGACAGAAACAAAGTTCAAGGCTTCCAGTATTTTCATTTTTTAATATATATTTTAATATAGGTATTTATTTTTATATTTTACTTACTCTCTCCCTCAGCTTGGAAAGAAATTCCACTTTAAAATGCTCTAATTCTTGTTTTAATAATTCAAACAACCTAGCGAGTGCCTTAATCTTTTCCTAATGTGATGGGCCTTCCTTAGTGGTTTAAGGGAGAAAAGAGTTGTGTCTGTTCAAATTTCTATTAATTTTCCATGTTAACTTTTTATTTAGAGGAGTCAATAAACATTTTAACTGAGCTGAATAATTACATAGTATTTAGGAAATCATTTTATACTTCTAGAATGCCCTTCAGTACTCAGAAATCCATTCTTTATATGCTGTTACAGATAGCCTGGCCAAAAAAAAAAAAAAAAAACCCCAAAAAAACCCCAAAACCAAAAAACAAACGACTAGGGAATGGTTGTTTTAAACGACACGTGTTGTGCATTATAATGTTCTTGATTTTTTTATACCAGCTCAACCTGATGAAAAGATCTTTCCTTTCAGACTCTGTCCCTCTCTTTCCCAATAATTTGCCATTATGTTTTTAGCTTCTATATGCTAAACCTTAACAGATTTTCTGTATACAGGTTATCTGATTTATTATTTTTATTATTAATCCTCATTGAACTCTCTTAAAAGAGAAGAAGAAAAGCATTTCAGATTATGCACTGAATGGATACTTCTTGCCACTTAAATATTCTCTGCCAAATAAGGTTAAACGGCATCTGGTAGATCTGACGGAATCTCCATCTCCTTTCTGGCCACATACAGTTCACTGGAAGGATTCAGACAGCTTTTTTGTTATTTATTCAGCTGCATTAGTTATGCCAAATCATCATTGCTATACATGCAGAGAACTGGATTCTCCCTTTGCTCCTTCAACTCGTATTCCCAAGTTCCACACAAACTCTGAAATTCCTTACATTTCACGAATGTCCCTATTCTCATTTCCTAGAACATCTTTGTTACTGCTTTCCTAGGAACTGATTTTGGTCATGACTTGAAAATGAAGTTGTTACAAAATGGCCATGTTGACAGATGGCATAAATGGCATAGCTAATCAAATCTGCTCCAATGTTTTAATGGCAACAGGGAATTGTTACCATGCTAGTAAATGAAGGTCTTAAAAACTCAGTTGATAAAGTCAGTGGAACACTGAAATGACAGTTTCCAGAATTCTAACTCGATGACAGAGCAATGATAGTAGCTGCTACGGCTGACATCTCATTGACATATGCCTCAAAGCAAGTTTACAGACAGGTTTGCTTGGAGCCTATCTCATTCCTGATAAAGATATTTTCTGATAATATTGTTTGGACTCACCATTGCATCCATAGAAAATGTTAAATAAACATTTTCTAGGGTCTAATGTATTCTTCTTTAAGGTAGGGTCATTGGAAGATTGTCTCACACGTGCGAAAAAGCCACTCAAGTCCTTGCATGTTGCATTCAACTTTTGGTGGTTTGTTAATTCCTGGAGAAATATGAACCGCAGAAATATTACACACCACTGTATTTCAGTAGTTTTTAAAAAAGACTTAAGAATTGTAAATGAATGTGCCTGTAATAAGCTTTTATTCATTTGATCTTTGGAGTCTTAAGTTTGACACCATTTAGATACAAGATGAAATCTAAGATAAAAGGTCATTTATCCCTACAAAGTCTAAGTACAGGTGGGTTTGAATTAGCAAGGATATGTAACTGCAGTAATTGCCTCTATTGTAAGAATCCATGGAGTGGCTTGATCTTATGTCTAAACAGTGGGCTTGATTTTCGGATGTAGAGTATATCCTCAAACGCATTAAATTTTACCCAGAGCATATGATTAAAATGTAACGTGTTTGTGAGTATGCAGTATATCTGAAAATTAGTCCAGTTCTCCTTCAAGGTGGGCACAGAAGTTGCTAATAAAGTTCTTCAAACTTCAGAAAAATGTAGGGGAGACTGAGACTTCAAAAACATATTCTATTCATACCTGGAATGTCACATCATCATTTCTTTCTGCTTAGTAATGCCTTCCCTGTTTTCTCAAACACTCATGGGACAGAACACCACAGAGATGGGGAGGCAGCACTCAGCTCTCAGAATAGCACCGATTCATTCACTCTTCAGCAAGAAAAAACGCTTTACAGTGGCCTTTGTTCCCATGCATTGGGAAGGAGGTCTCTGGAATTGGCAAAGTATTTCTCTGGAATGTCTTTCTGGTCTGACCATGGTTTTGCTTCATTGCAGTAGGTTTTTGGAAAAGTCGGTTGCTATAGAGTGAATGATAGAGTGAGTGGCACCTATTAGGGTTGGGTTATTTTTTCATAGTAACGTAGAATGTGGATCAGTGCAAGTACAACAACAGAATCAATATTTTCTCAAAATCTCTTGCCAAAGACATTGTAGATTCTGCTCAGAAAAATTATATGAAGTTTAGTATCCCAAGTGTGTTGCTAATGTTGTTTATATCCTCTTGTAACATCATTTCCAACTCTAAAAATGATTCCACTGTTCCATTCTTCCAAACGCACCTGTTTACCTTGGTTAAAGAAGGGTAGTACTTGGCACGTCTTGGCATCTTTCAGTTCATTGAGAACCTAAAATTACCCCATAAATACAGCTAACTATAACAATGGCCTTTTTACTTGCCTAGTTTTATTAAAAGACAATGAAAATATTATTTGCTGTACAGTCAGGTAAGTTAGAATCATGGGCCCCAAATGACATCATCCAGTCTCCTAACAAAATACTGCAGGAAATGAATGCAGAAAACAAAACCAAAAACATTTAAAACCCCTAACTGGGGACCATCTCTTTTAAAGTCAAACAACATGGTTTAGTTGTTTGTTGTTTTAATAATGCTTTCTGTTTGTAATGATACCTGTTGTCTAGGAAACCCTAAGTTACTGTGTAAACACAGTGTTTACCAGTGTTACTTTATGTAACGTGTGTTACTTTATGTAAATGTGTTACCAGTTACTTTAAAATTTCTCAGCTACACATAGCAAATGAGAAAGGATATTGTAAGCAGATTATTAACCTCACCTAATTTGATAAGAAATATGCATGCAACTTAAGTTTTCTGTAGCTAGTGAGGAGGTAGAAGCAGCTTTACAGTGCACTCCAATTGTCATGAAGGCTGTTCAGAGGAGCTGTTATATAAATCTGTGAACATTGATCGCATCATTATATGTGTATTTTGATGTCTTAGATCACCTTTCCTGATAAAAACAGTGACTAGTTCACTACATCCTTTGTGAGTTTAAATTTTCCTGGCTAAGAACTCTAGACAGACATAATTAAACAAATATAAATCCATGTGGCTGTCATCAGACTTGAAAATATTATGGCTCAGTGCAGTCTTAATAATTATCCAGTGGAAGGAAGACATTCCTCCTTAAAACAAACAACAACAACAAAAAAACTTATTCCTTGAAATACCTTTCACTGAAGTGGATTCAATGATTGACTCATATTACAACTAATAGCTTCTAGAATAAAAGTAAAACCATATAAATCATATGGATTCTAAAATAAACCACTCACTTCTCCCTCTCATTACCTTTTCTTCCTCTCCCATCCTTTCTTATTCTTATTTTCCTCCTATGTCCATCTGGAAAACTTCTATTTCATCATTTAAAGATGCTCCAGTGGATTTGACCGTCACCGGCAAGATTGGGTAGACAGTGGCTGCCCTGAAGAGGTATGTGAGTAGTTTACATCCTCAGCCCATCAGAGGCCATTTATATACTTACGACGATTTTTATTAAATTCTTCAGATTATGAAGCATGGTTTCAAGGCCAAAGACACAATGTATTTATCTTTATCATTCAGTGGAAATGCTGTAAGTCATAATAAAAAAAAAAATAGGTTGAGCAATTCACTCATTTGAGGGGATAAAATGGACACAAAGTAAAAATTTTATCTCTAAGAAAATACTTTAAATACAAAAGAAGACCAGCAAACCTCCCCAAACCAATGTCCCTGCACTGTTTTTCTTATATTTCTGACTCTTCCCAGGAAAGGGGAAGAAATTGTAATGTTCCTCATCTCAGAAAACCCTTTGCTGGAGTAATCTCAAGTGAAAAACAGGCGTTGCATTTTGATTATGAAACCTGGTCAAATCATTTACTACAGAAGAAATTACATAGATGAATTAAAAGAGATTAAAAAAAAAGAGAGAGAGAAAGGCTGCAAGGCATGTGGATTTCCTTTCATGCAAAGCCTGTAAGAGAATGAGAAGGGTATCCGACTGTGATAGTGGTGGACCATCAAACAGGGACTACGGATCTCCACTAAAAGAGCTATTTAAGTACTCCTGGACCGGAGTAGTTTATTTTCAAGACACATATATAAACAAATTACTGCTGATTTTTTCACAATGTCCTCCCTTTGGACATGTTTTTTTTTTTTCATTTGGGAGTTGGAAATTTGTTTGGTTGGTTTTTTTTCATTTGGAGATTGTGGTAATAGGTATAGATTAATTTATGACACTTTTAATCTCCTGATGGCCATAAAAAAAAAGCAGTTACTTTTCCATTTTGGCTAAAAGGGCTAAATTCTGTCATGCATTTCAGCAACATAGTCCTTCTAAAGTGTAATATCAGGTGAAATTCAGGGCAAAGCGTAGCCCCAGGTGTCTAGCTGGAAAAGCACATTCCATTTTTTTCTCAGTAGAAGCAAAGAGAAGTAATGATATAAATCCAGTCTTATGGAAGAAATTTTTTTCTTATAACTGTAATTGCAAAATAACTGCACCCTACATACTGCTTTGTTACCTGGCCTTGAAGCTTCAGCTTTGCAGTTTGTAATCTGATGATGTAAGAACAGAATTTCTGTGAGATTTATTGTCTCTGGAGGACAACCTCTTCAGTAACATAAAAGTATCCGGGTGAATGTGCTATTAGAGTTCACCGCCTTTTTATTGGTTTGTTTTAATTTAAATGAATTAGTAAGATTATAATTAGCTACCATTCAGTTTTGTCTGTAGATTAAGTTATCCAAAAACTGCTCTCTGCAGGACAGTAGCATCCCATTGTTTTTCCCTTCTTGTTTCAACATAACTAGCGCTTCAAGCTTAGTACGTGATCTGTGAGGAAATTATTGATACACTAAGTATGCCTGAGAAACAAATACTTCGATTTGTACAGTTTCAGGTTATTAGATTGCTGCTCACAGTCCAGCTTTCAGGCTCTCTGGAGCAGAAGCAAAGGCTTACTTAGGATGCTTGAGCTGACTGCTGGAGTTCAGTGAAGGATTGATAATTAGCACAGCGAGGTTAATTTTAGATGTATTCATTCAAGAGGACAAACAATGAGGATTCAATTTTCTTTCCTTGTAATATAGATTTTGAGCTAAATTTTTAATTGATTGCAACAGTGAAATTAACCATTTTTCAAGATAAACTTGAAATTTAAAGAATAATTATACTGCATGTATCAATACCTTTTTAACTGTAATATATTGCTTCCTGTTAAAACAAAGGACAATAAAATAACCATATATATTAAAAAAAAAAAACCAACACCCACTGAGTTTTGACAGCCAGATCTCAATAAAATGAACAGGCTTTGCAGGATTCCACTTCTCATTAAAATGAATGGGGACAGCAGGAGTTACAGGCAGCTCCTATATTTGATGTTAGTTAATTGGATATATTTTCCTGCAAACCTGTGTGATCCATAAAAGAAAATATTCATCACACCTGCAGAACGATAAGTGTCCAGAAATTAAAAAAACCCAACCAACCAACCAACCAAACAACAACAACAAAAACAAAAACCCACACACAAACCACACAAAGCTAAAGATTTGTATAGAAATATTTGACCATAGAAATAAAAAGTAATTATTATTTGATAGAGAATATTATTTATGGTGTGCTAATATAATAGAATAATTTTTAAGGGTATTTGTATTTCATAGTTTGTGTTTTATAATTCTTCTATTTAATATACTATTTTATACACACATATCGTGAAAATGTAATAATATACAGAATTAATAGACTTATAATGAATATGATAAGTAAATATTCTGTAGGCTTAATACAGGCACGCATTTTACATATACATGCATATTCTTCTGTGATAACTGCATCTAAAGCCTAATTAAATGCTCCAGTTAACTACATATTACTCGTAATGAAGAGCTACAATTTAATTCCCACGGATCTTTTTCAACATATGTTGTAGCACACAGACCAATGGCTGTGAGTATTCATAACAGAAGAGTGAAAATTTAACTGATAATCTTAGATGTTAAAATCTGATTGGGGGAAATAACATGTTTGACATTCAGGGATGACTTTGAAGCCTTGTCATTAACAAATGAGAGTTGTAACATTTGCAGATAAATGAAAAATATATGTTGCTGAATGCTGTGTAAAAGACTGAAGAAAAAAAAAAAGTAAAGCTCTTGAAATTCCTTGATTTAGGGTTTCCATTTTGATTCTTTTCATCCTGACAGCTTGTCCATGCTTAAATGGTTCATTCAGTGACAGTCTCTGCTGAGAATTAATTTTCTCTTGTTTTTGTTGTTTCCCAACAGTCAAAAGATAAGATTTGTGAGAAGACTATAGACACAACGGAAACACCTCCATACTCCACCACCATCCTTCTGCCAACCACCACAAAGTTCAGAGTTTTAACGACCACCAGAGGATCCACCACTTCTCACCTGCCAACTAGTCTCCCCACAGAAGGTGAAGTGTAGACACTGCATTATTCTACAGTGCAAATGTGTCATTTACAAGTCTACAAGAAATTTATTTCCTTTAAGTATGTGTTCGTATTGACTTTTCTCTTTGGGGCAGTGGAAGGAGTGAGGAATTGTAGTCAAGGCAGTATCTGCTACTGCTTTTAAATTGCAACTCACTGTTACAATAGTAAGGCACAAAGGGAAGAAATGCTGAAAGAGGGGGGAATGCTGGGGAAGCATGGACAAGCCGCAGGCAGACTTCTGGAGGCCTTGTGGCTACAAGAAGTTTTTTGTGTTCCTTTAACCATCAGGCCATTGTCCAAAGCCTACTGAAATAATAGGAGAGGGCCCTGCTAAAGCTAGTGAAGAAACTCCAATCACAGACTTAATGAATTTTTAATTCCTTTAGGCGTTCTGTTCAGCCAGGTAAAAATTAGAGGTCACCCAAATTAAAAACCTCTTTGAAATTTTCCTATTTACATTTTTTCAGTTGGTTGACAGTGTTCTTCTTATGCAGTGCTCACTGTTGTGAAATAGTTTCTACAGGCTTCTGAACTGAATTAACTGTGTAAGTGACGGTGTGTCAGTTCTCATCCTTGTTCAATTGGCTGCTGAAATCTTGCCTTTCTGTGGTAGAGATATCCTGCTTTCCAGCTTCTGGAGAAAATTCTACCTCGTAGAAAAGCTAACACAGATTAATCAAATAGCATCTATAAAACAGGACAGGGGGTTTTCTGTTGTAATTGTATATTAACATAGGAAAAGGTACCGGGTACAGGCAGAACTTTTAAGTGGCCTGTGATAGAAAAAATTGAGCTGAAGAAATTGCAAGGTGGGAATCTATTGATAAGAAGGTCTGTTTTGTTTGCAGCAAGAGAAATTTAGATATTTTCAGTGCAGGATTTGGACTGCATTAGCAGCATTGTTCCCTGTTATTTTGTTCAGTAAAGCTCACCACAAGAAGAGGAATATGGAAATAAACAGGATTTAAAACTGTCAGACCTTTTCATGATTCTCAGAAGAGGAATTAAGGCACTGTTTTATTTTATTGTCTTATGTTGGTTCACATAGTTCTTAGATGATAGAATGCTCACACTATGTATGAACATGTAAAATAAATAGAATATTTGTTAAGTGTTGTGAGACAAACTCCAGTACCCTTATTTACCAGTATTTGGAATCCTCCTTTAACTGTAACACTCTCATAAATGGTGTTTTAGTAATAAGGAAATAAAGCATTTCTCACTGTAAGTAAGAACACCACAATCGAATTCTCATTGAGTACGAAATCATGTTCTAATTGTGGAATTTCTTTGACATTAGAAAGTCATTCATAAAATTAATCATGACCTAGAAAAATCCATTTTCCTACAACTAACATTGAATTTCCTTTATAGATGACACCAAGATTGCACTGCACCTAAAAGATAATGGAGGTAAGAGATAATTTTTTTGTCTGTAAATAATGTCAGTGGTTTCTCAAATGATACTCCACTGAACTTCATTAATCAAACTCAGATTGTAGAAATAGCTTTTGCCAGACTCCCAATGGACTTCATCCTTTCACATCTGAGTGGAAGAGCAGCAGGGCAAATAAGCTTAGCAACTGCTTAGTAAATTAAACATTTACAACTCTCTTTGTAACTCTTTAATAAAACAGCAGGATTAATTAACTTCCAAATATGGACATATTAAGTAAATTCTTAACTGTATTATTACAGTTATTAATGGTATTATAATAATACAGCCTTATTTAACTGTATTGAGGGGAGCCTTCCAGTACCTGAAGGGAGCCTACAAGGAAGCTGGGAGAGTACTTTTTACAAGGGCCTGTATTGATAGGACAAGGGGTGATAGGATTTAATTGAAAGCGGGGAGATTTAGAATAGGTATCAGGAAAAAGTTCTTCATAGAGAGGGTGGTGAGGCACTGGAAGAGGTTGCCCAGAGAAGTTGTGGATGCCCCATCCCTGGCTGTCTTCAAGACCAGGCTGGATGAGACTTTGAGTAACTTGGTCTAGTGGAGAGTGTCTCTGCCCATGGCAGGGGGGTTGGAACTAGTTCATAGAATCATAGAATGTTTTGGGTTGGAAGGGACCTTAAAGATGACCTTAAAGCATCCTGTGATTCTGTGATATGATGCTAGTTCTAAATAATAATACTCTGTTAAAAATTACATTACATTTTGTCATTAAACATACCCATTTTATATCTGTGTCTCTGTACTAGCAGAGATCCTGTATCTCTCCATGCATATTCACCATACAAGTTAATAAGATCGTCTTGCCTTAATGATAAAGGCCTCTGTTAAATGAGGCTCAGCAGGGGAGTACTTTTGTGATCTTCTTTATGGGTTCAAGGACTGAGACCCGAGGTTTGTTCCTTCTACATTTGAAGCTGATGGAAATTTTGCTATTAGAATAGGACTAGGCCATTAGACGTAGGCTGTGTCTGTGTTCACTGCCACTGTAGAGCTTGCTGAGGAGAAAGGAAAGATTTGGGTTGATTTCTGCAGGCTTCAAAATGGTCTGTCAAAGCAGAGGATGGTTTGCTGAGCAAATTGAAGTAAATTATATTTCCACTGATAAAAAGGGGACTATTACATGGTCTGATTGCCATGCCGCTGGGCAGAGACCACCAAGCCTCCCTCGGGGTCAGGTGAACCAGAGCCAGACGTGCCAGGCTGCAGGGTGAGTCCAGCAGCTATGGGGCAGCAACAGGGATCAGTCTAGTGACCATCAGCTGAGTCTGCAGTGATGAGGCAGGCCCAGGGTCATGGAGGAAGACAGGTGGGCAAGGCAAGGCTGGGAGTGGCAAGGGAGCAGGCTCCACACAGCCAGCCAGCAGCATAGCTCAGGCAAGGACCAAAGGAACCAGCTCCTGTCAGATGTCCTAGAGAAGGTGAGGTAGTGAACCAGATCCACACAGGTAGTCTGGTCAGCAGCAAAAGGAGACAGAGCAAGAGAAAAATTTGCAACACAGCTCTAAGGTCTATCCAAGGAGACATGGTGCATGGACATGACTGAAGACAAGCCCCATGGTTAGTCCAGGAGACAAGATCAGAGAAGGGAGCTCAATACAGGTTCACCTACAACATAACTTAGCTTTGGGTGAGCTTACATGGAGTCTGTAGTCCCATGGACAGTGGTCCCAAATGCAGCAGGTCAGGATTGCTCAGGTATAGTGGTCTCTCAGGGCCCTTCATGGAGAATTATTCAAATTTGGGGAAAACAGTGTGCAGGTACCATTTAGCATTTTGGTCTGTTTTCCTGTAGTTTGTTTTTCAGTAATATTCAGACGTTATTTTCTCCTTCCCTCAAATTAAAAGTCTGCTTACTCCTCAGGAGGCAGTTGCCATCCCCTTCCTTACCAGTTGCTCTTCTGTCATTTTGCTGCTGTCACTAACCACAGCATAGCTGGTCATATGCTGTACTGTGCATTGAAGCGTCCATTTGTTGGAAGTGTTGTTAGATGTGACTTTGACACATAAGTGATCTCTTGGAATAAGGTCATCTATAAACTCAGAGTGGTACTTTAAGGCATTTTGTCCATTCTGTTATTTTTTCTTGAAATGAGATTGCTTTTTATTTTGTTGTGGAAAGTGCTTCAGTGCTCTTAAAGATTAATAGACAAGGTGAATCAGTCAGCACTTCATTCTCCCGTCCCCTGTCTGCTCAGTGCATAAGGCGTGTTCCCAACTAAGCTGTGCTTACACTCTGCCCCATGAGCCATTGGTCCATGGCAGGTGGCTGGCCCAGGACCAGCCAGCCCTCCACTGTGAGCATCTCATAAAGAGCTCAAAAGAGTATTCTGTTATATAAAAAATTATTCAAAAGGTGGGCTTTAGAAAACACCCCCAACTTTCTTTTAGTTTGGAAATTGCAACAGGATTATTTTTTTCGCTTGTCTACTCTTTGTCGAAGTTCTGAAAAAGAGAAATCCTGTGAAAGCAAACGAAATGTTGAATACTAGACCAAGTGAGGGATGGCTGTGGCCTACTGGGTAGAGTGAGGTGGTAGGGTTTGTGGCATCCCATATCTTAAATACAGAAAATCCATTTCCATGCAGAAAGCTACTGCATTTTAGGAGGACAAACCAGCGCCTGATGTGATTATTCATTTTCCTGGAGCTTTTTCGTTTATTCTTGAAATTTTTAAAAAAGAAATTGACTTCAAAAAACAGGAAAGCAAAGCAACACACCAGGATTTCTCATTCACACAGTAAACGTAGCTTTTAATCTGAGAAGTTCTTTTTGATGAATCTTCAATTATGCATTGAATTTTTCAGTGACCCCTAGATTACACTCAGATAAAAACTCTGCAGCCGCAGGCCCATTCTTTGATTCTCTGTGATTTGTCAGCCTTTCAAAAAGAGTAGATTATTTCAGGTCACGAATACAGGGTCTTTACTTTCTCACACTCGATCCTTTAAAACTCTAATGAAAAGGAACCTTTTATAATGGAAAACCAAAGCTATATTGGGTCAGTGCTGGGCTATAGCTTGTTATGTCCTTGGATGATAGCAGTCAATATCTGGTTAGGTTCAACAAAAGGATTCTACAGAAATTCTGCATCTTACCTCTGCCTGGGACTTCTGAAACCAAATGTTATAAAGCAGCAACTAAATTTAAATTAAATTTTGGGTTCAGGTCAAAATGCTTTGACCTTTTAATTATATGAGAAAATAACTTGCAAGTTAGTGTGTTAATTAACCCACAACCTTTGGTGGCTTACATTAACATAAATTTCAAATTTGCTTGTTTCTGTTTTTTCTGTCTTCCTTCTTTCTTCATAGAGACATGTTAGATGCCCAATACATACATGAATAAACCATTTTAAAATGTAGCTGGCATGCCATCCAAATTTTTGTTACATTTATTTATCTTTAAAATAACAAACATTCTGTAAGTTTTAAGATATGTCCAGCACTAAAATGTAGGGTTTTGTTATTAATTGCAGATTTTGTTCTTTTTTTTCGTTTTTCTTATAACACAACATAGCTGACTAAACAGTTTAAAAGCTTAATTTTTCATAAAAATTGTGAGTAATTGACTGTGGCTATACAGTAATGCTGTTTTCCTGTTGAGAATACTTTGGTGGATGATTTAGATGATTGGCCAGCACATCTAGACATTTTATTTGACCTTTTCAGACAGCTGGTTGCGATGATTTGATTGCTATGAGTCCCTCTCAATCCTTCAGCTTTATAGCTCAAAAGAAAAGCGCATGTGTGTTGGACAGTGTCAGACGAACTGCTACATTCCTCATTCATAGAGATGTACAGAAATTACTGTTACTAAAAAGGAAAGCTATGCAAAAAGCATAAAGAAAGCTATTTTATTTATTTGTGAAAAAGTCCATCCCAGCACATGTCGTGCTAGGAAATGTCTGTGTCCTGATACTTTCACTCTGCTGTGGACTTGTTCAAAAATAGTTCTAGATATGAGCATTGTTGATGTACAGGATTAACATTAGTGTTATAGAGAGCTTAATTTGATCTTGAAAGATTAAAAAACTTGGTAAGAAATGATCAAAATGCACATCTAAATTTTGAAAAAACAGTACTTTTATTTACAGTGATAAATTTAAATCAAGGCTGGAATTTTTTGTTTGTTTTTTAAGTCACAGATGCCTGGAAACTGACTCCCATTAGTCATCTTCTTAATTTCCCTTCAAAATTGCAGTCTGAGCTCTTCCTACCGTAGGAATTGTTGAGAAATTACAGGCTCAGTCCTGTTTTTCTTGTGTACCCTGAACTCCAGCTGCAACATGTTGAACACTAGTTCATGCCTGATAATAATAATCTAATTTATTTCTTTCTAATATGTTAAGTTTGCAAATTATCCAGAAAATTAGACCTATTTCAACAAAGAAACAAGCCAACATTTTATGGAAAACAAGGATTTTTGACATAACAAAAGTTATTACGACCACACAGTCCAAAATAGCTTGCTCAGGTTAACAAGTCACAACAGATTAGCTGAGTCCTCTCCAATTTTAAATTAAAACACATTAAATTAAACAATTCTAAACCTAACCTTTGTGGTGGTTTAAAAATGTTTTAAAGTGGACCTTGTATGGGATAAGATCTACAGCATACAATGTTGTTTTATCACCAGATCTTGGCCTAGCCAGAGGAAATGACCTTTCAGAGGCTTCATTTCATCTGGTGTTAGCCAGGAAGCCACAAGCTTTTCTTTCAGGCTTCTCTCATAGCCAGTGGCAAGCAATAGGCAGAGAAAGTGTCCAAGTGGGATAAGTTGCTATATAGATTTGTCTATCTCTGTCAGCTTCAAAGAAAAATCTTAATGACATTCTAAAAGTAGGCATCTTACTTGTGGGTACCAAAGATCTCTTTACATCATCTCTTTTCAGGTTATCCTAGCTAATGTGTTCTGTTTCTATTCCTGTCCAGAAACCTGGCTGGCCAAGATTCAG